AACAGCAGAATTGCAAAAACGGTGCGATGCTAGTTTTCATTGCTAGGACGACGACTGAATTAAGGGGCTTAGAATTTACGTTTATAGCTGCCTATTTGCCATTCCAATGCGTAGGCCAGCAAAAGAATTTTCTCAAGGGTGACCTCCAGAAACTTACCCGTCATAGGTCTAAATTCTTCATTATTGGTGATTTTAATGCAAAACACCGCTCATGGAATAATGCTCAAAGCAATTCCAATGGTAATATTCTGTTTGATGATTGTTCTGCAGGTTATTACACTATTCAATATCCAAACAGTCCAACATGCTTTTCTTCTGCAAGAAATCCCTCAACTATTGATTTGGTCTTAACTGATTCATGTCATCTTTGTAGCCAATTGGTTACCCATGCTGACTTCGGTTCTGATCACCTTCCAGTAACTTTTGAAATATCTCAAGAAATAATTTCTAATCCCAACAGCTCTACTTTCAATTACCATAGGGCTGATTGGGAGCAATATCGAACATTTATGGAATATAACTTCGATCCAAACATTCCTTTGCAAACCAAAGATGAAATAAATTATGCTCTTGAATCTCTGACTACTTCTATAGTTGAAGCAAGAGCTGCCTCAGTACCAAAAATCGAGGTTAAATTCGATTCAATTATAATAGACGACAATCTTCAGCTCTTGATCCGTCTTAAAAATGTCCGTAGGAGACAATATCAAAGAACACGCGATCCTGCCATGAAAGTTATCTGGCGGGATTTGCAAAAACAAATTAAAAAACGATTCTCTGTCCTGAGGAACAAAACTTTTGAAAATAATGTTTCTAAATTATATATAGTAAACTTTTTGAAAAGATAATTTTGAACAGAATGATGCTTCACAGCAATACGAACTCAATTTTTGCAGATGAGCAGTTTGGATTTCGCCATGGGCATTCAACTACTCATCAACTCTCAAGAGTTACCAATTTAATTCGTTCAAACAAATCTGAAGGCCACTCAACTGGAGTTGCTCTTCTAGACATAGAAAAAGCATTCGACAGTGTTTGGCATGAAGGTTTGATTGCTAAATTGAAAAAGTTTAATTTTCCACTTTACATTATGAAATTAGTTCAAAATTATTTAACTGACAGAACTCTGCAGGTAAATTATCAAAATTCCAAATCTAATCGACTACCTGTTAGAGCAGGAGTTCCTCAGGGTAGCATTCATGGGCCTATATTGTATAACATTTTCACTTCGGACCTCCCTGATTTGCCTCAGGGTTGCCACAAATCTTTGTTCGCTGATGACACAGGCATTTCCGCTAAAGGAAGAAGTCTTCGTGTTATTTGCAGCAGACTGCAGAAAAGTTTAGATATTTTCTCTTCTTATTTACAAAAATGGAAGATTTCTCCCAACGCTTCCAAAACTCAACTTATAATATTTCCACATAAGCCTAGAGCTTCCTTTTCGAAACCTAGTAGTAGCATAGAGGTAACTCTAAGACTAGAAGGTCCTGAAATAACGTGCTGAACTTTTTGGCTCAACTCTGGTACTCTCTTCGGTCCCAAGCTAATCGATTCACCCCTCGAAACATAGGAAAAACCAATAACCCCTCATTTTATCTGTCAAACTTTCATAGCGAATCAAAACAAACATTGCGTAGTACTAGAATTTCGACAAGAATAGGGTACGTTAATCGTTTGCTTGGGACCAATAGGCTACTAAAGTGGTGAGCCAATTTTAAATCGTTAGTTTCGTGTTGATTGTTGGTAGTAGTCACATAGTCACTATGAACGGAGTTCCAATTTCCTGGTCAAACCAAGTGAAATATCTTGGATTAGTGCTTGACCAAAAATTAACTTTTAAAGATCACATTGAGGGCATTCAAGCCAAATGTAACAAATATATAAAATGTTTGTATCCTCTTATAAACAGAAAATCCAAACTTTGCCTGACGAATAAACTTCTAATATTTAAACAAGTTTTTAGACCGGCCATGCTTTACGCTGTACCAATATGGTCTAGTTGTTGCACTACCAGGAAAAAAGCACTTCAAAGGATTCAGAACAAAGTTCTGAAGATGATTTTGAAGTTGCCTCCCTGATACAGTACTACCGAAGTACATAGAATTTCGAATGTTGAGACTTTAGCACAAATGTCCAACAAAATAATTAATAATTTCCGGCAAAAATCGTTACAATCCTCAATTGCAACGATTAATTCCCTTTATACTTAGATAAGATTTAGTTTTAGTGTTTATTTTTAAGATATCAATTGTTATACTGACATGCAGGTTTGAAAAAAAAACCTGTTTAAAATACTGAATTGCAGGACAGGAACAATGTAAAAACACTTAGATATATAACATAACAATTAAGGCTGGTAAGTTACTGTAGTAACTGGAGCACCTAGGTTAAAAATGAAATGTAATATATTGTAAATTTGGAACAAATAGAAAGTTAAAAAAAAAGGGGCTTAGAAGCAGAGGGGTGAAAGTCAATTCTCTTCATCGATTTCCTCTTTTGATGACCATAGCTATTTCGCATTGTTCTGTTTCTGTTATGCTCTTCTATCATCCAGAACAACAAACGTATCAATGAATGTGTTTGCCGTCGAGTTATTAACTAAACAGAAAGTCGATGAAGAGAATCGATCAAAATCACTTGCACCCCTGCTTCCAAGTTTGGTTACAAGATTACAACTCTGGAGAGCATTTTGTGTGGTCGTTGGGGGTGTGTGGTTCTGAATATAGCGATGAGTGTGCAAAATGTTACGCAATTGCATCCTCCCTATCCGCCCGAAGATCGGAGGCGAATGCCACATCGACTTGTCTAATAAATCTGATCGATTGGTGATAAAATTATTGAAATTGGACCAGGGGCAGCTGAGTTATTAACGTTCAAAATCTTTCATAATTTGTTACATGTTCCATTTTTTTGGTTGTCACGAAATGTACCCCCATAAATAAATCACATACGTAGTCCTACGTCAAAACATGTTTGATGAACATTCCTTTGCGCCATCAATGGTAACAGATCAACCGAAACCGGAGTCAAGACCGTCGACATCGCTACTGATGAAGGATGAACTTACTGCTGGTTATCATCGCAACGATAATCCCAAAGTTGTTGAAAGCCGGCTTGAACATAAAACAACCGAATCTCACAATATTTCAGCAGTACCTAGTTGGGTGGTATAAACATTTTTGTGTGATTTGTTTTCCGTACTGAGTACCAATGCTACCGACACCAGGGAAGCAGCTCCCAAACCCACCATTTTTACCCCCAAACCCCCTAAGTTTTACTCAACTGTGAGTTGTTTTTGATACCCTTGTTACGCTCAATTTACCGTGTACTAGTCACCTTTCGCGTCACTAGAGCCGCTAGTGTCGGGAAAAATCGTGTCTTGGGGATAATAGAAGAGTGAACCATATTGTTAATTAATCATATCGTCCGGCCTTTTTCCACAGAGATGGCACTGTTCCGCTGGTAGGAAGTGATAAAAATCCCCATATAGAAATTTGAGAGACGTGGGAACTGCTTTACTACCAGTCCCCAGAGAGCCAAAAAATTAAAATTTGAGGATGAAAATTCTCTCTCACGAGCTCACTCTCTCAATGTGCCATGTATTTTGATGACACTCGATTTGTGATTTCCCTTTCACAGATTACAAAATAGAGTAGCATAGAGGTATGTTTTGTAGTGACAAACATACCTCTATATATGCATTTAGATTAACATTTGAAGTCCCTTCTTTTTTACATATTCTGCGCAAAAGATACCTTCTGCCCCGTCCCATGCATAAAAATCGGCGGGAAATTCTGTGAGGAATGAGCTATTTTGTGTGCAGAATGTTTAAAAAAGGAGGGTCTTCGAATAATAATCCAAACGCATAGATAGAGGTACCAGACATGTTTTCCACTGCAGTGTCCTCTGAGAACGATTAAAGGAAAACAGATTGTGTGTAGTTTTCGATAGATGTCACCGCAAACAACAGCAGTAACATCTGATTAATGAAGAAGCTTGACAAAATGATTAATTTATAATATATGATAAAATGTAAGATTAAGGCTTTATTTGGTATTTATGAGGTGTCGATTTTACCCGAACTGGTGTCAATTTAACCCCGATTAGATATGTCGATTTTACGCCGAGAGGGTATCAATATTACCGCACTCCAATTTGTTTTGTTTGAAATCACATAATTTTCTTTTCTATTAAAAATCAAGCTTTATCAAAATATGTAATCGTAGGATCTTGTGGAATGGTGATTCTGTGACGTTTGTCGATAAATTATTGAGAATCATTGTAAACCTCTGAAAATCGTTAGGGTTATAGTTTATATTTTTTTATTAAGTCGAAAAAATTGTGTTCTGTTCAAAATTTTACAAAAACTGATTTAAACATTAAATTTTAAAGATAAAATTCAAATGTTGTAGTTCAATGCTTTAATTGAGTTTTTTAAGTGTCCATATTAAAAATCTTCCTGAACACAGCATTTTTAGAAGCTTTTTAATGAAAAATATTCTAAAAATATTCTGAATATTGAAATATTTGTTATTTAAGTTTTAAACACTTATTTTTACTATTTATCCGAAATTACTTGATTTTTTACCGTGTACATATATTTTGCTTAAAAAAAGAATCATTTTTTCCTATACAACTTTGTCTCAGACGTGATTCTGATTGGATATGACGATTTCGAGTTATAATTTGTTTAAGTTTTATGCGAGATTCAAAATGACCGAATTTAAGCTAAAATGTGAATGATTGCCCGTAAATTCTCTGCACAACTCCTCATCCTTTCGTAATCTTTACGGCATTCAAGTTCCGGGACACCACACCGGTTACGTAGTTATGGCCTTCCAAAGAGATAAATAGGACCAACTGGCCCGACAGTTTTGTAAGGTCTACGGGTTGTCCTCGCTGTTACCATCCTTGGGCGGCGAACATTTCCCATTGGCCCGTCAGCAGTCGCCTCGTCAATTTCCGAAAGAAACCGTTTAGGTCTGGATGGTTTTGGCCGCTGTTGTTGCTGTTGCTGCTGTTGACGGATTCGATCAACAGTATGTTTAATTGCTTCACTAAGTTTGTGTTCCTTGGACTTTGCAGGCTACGAATTATTGAAGAGAATTCGGTACACTTTAACTTGCACAGATCAATTACTCAACTTACTTGTTTGGGATGTCCTGCAGCCATCGAAGCTTCGCATAAAAGTAGTGAAACCGTGACCACTAGGATAATTGCTGGTAAGTTCTTCATTTTCACTTTGATTTGCTTGCTCTAGCTGGTTGCAGTGAGTGAAAGGTGACAATGCATAGCTACTTTTATAGGGATTTGCTTTTAAGATCTTATCATGCTTCGGCAAGCAAGAGTGTCATAACATCGTTCTCTGTGCATGTCGAGGTGATAACGGCGCTTGTTGCGAGTGATTCACGTTGGTCAACGCTTGATAACGCTGTGCTGTGAAAACAAAGTGAGGTTCTCGTGGCTGAAGCAACTCTTCTCTGCATTCATGGTCGCGAGCGCGGTAGGTCACGAAATAAAAATCCCCGAATAAAGTAACGACTAACAATCTAAATAATAATCATAATTATTTAGGTAACTTTTCATAGCCTATTACAGCAGTATATCAAAGAACTATAAACCGCGTTTTCTTTCGAAAGTACCCATTTTCATGCCATTCAGTGTTTGTTCTCAAGCTTTATAATTTCCACCGGTCCTGCTGCAGCTACTGCTGCACCGTTTGGGAGTACCCCCGAAACAACAAGATGCAAATGAGGGCATTAATTTCGGGTGAATTTTATTGCTTCTCCGCCACCGCTAATAAACCTCCTCGGTAACCTCGCCGTGCCTGCTCTCTCGGATATCGTCGGGCTTAGGATTATATCCTCGCTCACTTGGAAAGCCACTTTCGGAATCGTCGCGCCGCCGTCTTGTTTCCCATTTTGCGCTTTGATCTTACGCTTTGTTTTAGAAACCGGGAGATGAGCCTCCGTTTATTAAGCCGTAAAGCAGCTGCTTTAGCAACGGTAACATGTTAATCAAACGTAATCGAAATCCCAAATCAGCCCGTCAAAAGCCGAGGGCCTTAATAACCGCGCGGCCGCACTGCACTGTTGGCTGTTTTTGATCCAATTATGTACGAAACGCTTAGGATCACGTACCGGGGCATGTGTGTGTGTGTGTGTGTGTGTGTGTGTGTGTGTGTGTGTGTGTGTGTGTGTGTGTGTGTGTGTGTGTGTGTGTGTGTGTGTGTGTGTGTGTGTGTGTGTGTGTGCGAGTGATTGCTGTACACTGTGTTATTATGGCTCTATCATTGCGAGAGCAAGTCCAATTTCCCACATCAAACTGGAAGCTCAACTCCTAATTAGGCAAATGAGGAAGCAACCGGGGTTTATGGAAGGGGGAATCTTCTTTGAAATGGGACCTGTTCCTGATTGTAGGGAGAAAGACTTTTGATTCCCGCCGGTTTTCAGGTAGAAGGATTAGCGCTCAATTCGCCGGGGATAAGTCGCGGCGTTCCTGGAGGCGCGTGCAACAAGTTATCTACAAAGTCGCGCAGGTGATCTGCGGGACGGTGGCTTTGATGCTGGTTCCTTTTTTTTGGTGGATGGATCCGTTGAACGAGCTTTGTGGCTGCAGGGGCGTGGGTAGGTTGAGGATAGATTATTGACTCAGACAATGTATTTAAATTTATGTTATTAATACATTCAACACCATTTAGGGATGAATAATTACAGAATAATTAAGTAGTTAAAATCCCAACATTTAAAAAATCAACATCATTTTACAAAATATATAGCAGGGTAAATGGATGTAATGTCGGCCTAAATGCCCCTAATTTGGGCCCAAACATAAATTCAGCAATCGACTAAATTTTCAATAGCGACCAAAAATATCCATCAGTACCGTCCCAATTATGCGTTCATCTAGATCAAATTGATAAATAGCAGATTTTTAGCGATAGGCCCAATCTTAGATCCATAGGCCAACATTAGATCCATTTCCCCTATGTATTTATATTCAAAATCAATAAAAAAAATAATATAGGTTTCATAACTTCAAAACAATTCAAAATTTTGTTTTCACGAATCTCGAAATGGATTATAAAAAAACTCCACGGTAAAGTGGTTCCGTACAGTTGATAAGTTGTTTAAATTTAAAAATTTAAATCATTATTTTAATAAATATACAGCGGCGCCTGGTAAGCGTGATTGCCTCTCACCCCACTTCGGAAGGGAAGTAAAGCTGTTGGTCCCCGGTCCATGAGTTGATGGGTCGATAGGTAGGGTCCAGGTTTGGGAGCTGCCTCTCTGGCGTCGGTAGCATTGGTACGGAAGTACCAGAAAAACCAGAAAACCAGATCGACGGATAACAAAAAAAAACAAATCAAAGGAAAACAAAATAATAAATAGATCCTATTGACTCAAATCTTAAAACATAAGTATATGCAAAGTAACACGGCTCCTTGAGTGATATAGGTTTCACTCCTGCCATCGATCACCTCGAACCTCATTCCCGACATTACTGATAGATTTCAGATAATTTATAGGGCTTACGGTGATTGAGGATCGACATAGCAAGCCAGCTTCGAAGTCGCTTCTTTATGGAGAACGTGTTGCATGTTATGAAGAATTACAAGGGAGAAATATTAAATCTAAGGTTTAGCCCAGTAGTCTACAATGGAGCAAAATATACAATGCTTAAAGCATATCGCTCATGTATAATAGTTTAAACGATTGCTGTTGTTACTCACGCAACCGACGCCAGCTTTAATTCAAATCCAATCCAAAGCCAAAATCAATTCAAATTCAATCCAAATCCTACTCAAATCGAATCAAAATCCAATCTAAATCCAATCCATATCCAATCGATATCTATTGGAAATACAATCGAATTTAAATCTAAATGAAATCTAAATCTTATCCATATTCAATCAATATCCAATTCAAAGCAAATTCAAATTCAATCAAAATCGAATCCAAATCCGTCCTAAATCTATTCTCAATTCAACCAAATCCAAACCAAACAGGATATAGATAGCATGCTAAACCCGATTATTATTAGCAAACTTCGACAATTTCATATGCTTGAAAATATTTGCGATCTTTCCTCTTGCGGTTGCCTGTATAAAACTTCTGCCCAGGAAGCTGTTTGAAGCCGATTTGATGTGCAATTAGTTCAGATTTTCACGAGGCGCGTGTAAAATTTTGATGCGTTGCTTCTCTTGCTTGGACGCCAAATGTCAAAATCAAAATAAAGGCATCAAGGGGTGTTCAGATTTTGACGCAATTTCAAAAAACCAAAATCTACCGTGTTACGAAAAGTGGTCAGGTTTAGACCACTTATAACTCTGCCAATAGCGGATGGATTTTAATTCTAATTTCTACAAATCTGCTAAAATGAACACTTTATTAATTTCCAATAAGTCACTACTGAAAATTACACAAATGTCCAACTGTTGCAAAGGTGATCTAAATTATCACTGATTGCCAGCGAAAAGCTATTTTCCTATCACAGAGTTCAAAATCGAATTCCATCTGATCTTGCCGAACGGCGCTTATTTAATCACCGTGTGTGGTGGTGTCCAGTCGGTCGTCATCAGCAGCAGGGCTTTCGGCACGTGGCGTTGAACATTGTTCTCCAGTACACAACGAAAGGCTACCCGCAAACAGCGAGCTGCAGCCCACATAAGCGTCCGTTCACTGAAGAAGGAGGAAAAAGCCGCACCGCTACTTATCGGATTCAGTAGCTCTTCGTGAGTCGCTGATATACACAATATACAGCTCACCAGCCTCACCTGTGTTGAACACCCTAATAGCTCAGCATTACTCAACCATCACGACAACGGTTTATTTTCAGGACCACAATAACTTTGTTACAGAGTATTTTCTGGACATTTGTCAAGGTCATCAATCGGATGTCAGTTCCCATAAGATATAATATCATGTATTTTGAAAGGAAACATTGGAGTTGTAATTTCAAAAACCAAAGTAGTTCTTGGCATGAAAGTGGTCTGATTTTGATCCAGAGATGATGGATTTTAATTCCTAATACGCCAATCGATAGGAAATTTTTCAAAATATCAAATGCGTGGATTTGTGATCAGAAAACGAGGCGTTTCCGTGATAGGAAAAAGTGGTTTTTCTAACACAGTCGCCGAATATTGATACCGAGCACGTAATCCTACGTCAAATCTACGCTCGTGTCTTGGATACATCCTCTTACTTTGTTAAATGTTCGATTTAAAGCAATGCGTCAAAATGACTTGAAAGAGCTCAGAATTGACACTTTCAATCGAAGAGACAAAGAAGTAGGAAAACTAATTCATATTCAGGGAAAGAACACATGGGACAACATTTCAAATAATTTTAGGAATAGAATCAAAAAAATTGACTGAAACTTAAATGACAAGAAATGCTTCTCTTTAAAGTTTTTTTAAAACTTTAAAAACAAGAAAGAGGTAAATTTTTGTTATTTTTGGATCTAATCACCTTGTTTGATATTTAACCAAACATAACTTTACATTTTTAACCGTGAATAAATTTTCTGAAAAGGAAATAATTTTTCCTGAAAGTGCCATATAAGAGTTAAGATTTTTTTTAAAATATCGAACATAACATTTAGATTTTTTACTCGATTCGAATTAGCCAAAATATAGCTAAAATGTGAATGTTGCACCATATAAAACCAATTAGGCAAAGTTTCATGCAAATGGAGAACGCCAGATCGATTCGTCATGTGACGTGGAACTGTTTTATACGTTTTTAATTTGGAAAATAAGAAGCCTTTTTAAATAAACAAAAAAACGGTCTCAAGGAGTAAATCCAGTGGCTGATTATTGCTCACATAACGCCAATCCAATTCAAATCAATCCAAATCCAATCCAAGTTGAATATTAACCCAATAACCAAATCAAATTCACATTCCTTCCAAATTTAATCCAATCCCATTCAAAACCTAAAATAAATCTATTCCAAATTAAATCCACATATTTAGCAAATCTATTCCAAAGTCAATCTTAATCCATTCAAAATGTAATCCAAATCTGTTCCAAATTATATCTACATAATATTTAAATTCTTTTCATATCCATTCTAAATCCCCAATCAATCGAAATTTAATCCAAATCTATTCAAAACTTAATTCAATTCAAAACCAAATTCAATCCAAATTTCCTAGCCAATTAAAATCTAATCCTTATGTTACCCCAATACAATTCAAATCCCATTTCAACCCAAATACAAACCAAATTGAATCAAAATAGTATTCAAATC